AAAAAAAAAAAAAAAGGAATCATACATAGTAAGCTGATACTGAAATAGCATGGCTATGCTAAAGGATATTTATGCAAAGAGCACCAGAAAAACCTGTTAGTATCTCGTTTATCTTTCCCTCTTGATTCCCCTTGCTGTAGCCTTTATAAATCTCATCATTGATCTCATAAGAACTATTACGCCACAAGTGTAAACCTTTTAAGCAGTTTATCTCTGTAGCAGAAAATTAACAAAGCTATAAACTATGCATAAACCCAATATGGAAAGACATAAACTTGTTTGTGTGGAAGGGTGGTCTACTTTTCTTTGACAACACTTGACTACTCGTATGTACCAATATGGAAAGACATAAACTTGTTTGTGTGGAAGGGTCTACTTTTCTTTGACAACACTTGACTACTCGTATGTACCAATATGGAAAGACATAAACTTGTTTGTGTGGAAGGGTCTACTTTTCTTTGACAACACTTGACTACTCATATGTACCAATATGGAAAGACATAAACTTGTTTGTGTGGAAGGGTCTACTTTTCTTTGACAACACTTGACTACTCATATGTACCAATATGGAAAGACATAAACTTGTTTGTGTGGAAGGGTCTACTTTTCTTTGACAATACTTGACTACTCGTATGTATATGGAAGCTTTAGTTCTAGACAGGGTGACCGTGCATGTGCTTATCTTCCCATTGTTTACAAATTTGTCAACGTAACAACCTAGCCATTCAATAAGATAGTTTAAAAAGTATGTCTGGAGCTGAACTTCAACATCTCAAAGCTAAAAAGATCTAGAAACTTATCCTACTTGAGTCACACCATAACCATGCAATGTAGACTCAACTTCAATGGTGAAAGCTTAAACTAACCCTGCGTTACTTATGCACCAATAGAGGCCTACTTTTTCAGCCTAAGCCTTGTGCCTTTTTCCTGAATTTACACATCAATATCTAACATCAAAAAGGTTAAGGTTAGTCAGAAAGCAGTAATGAACATAAATCTACTACCTTGCTGAACAGCTACAGAACCAAATTCTAATGGAAGAGAAAATGTGGAATTTGAAGAACACTGCGATTGGACGTAGTAGACTGGCAGGTTGGAGAAGAAAGCTGCCTCAAGAAAATTCACATACTCGGTGTGTGACTCGGAGCCCTGAAATTTTGGAAGGTGATTCATCATCAAACAAAGAATAAAGTTTCAACCTATGTACAGTGAATCTCAAGGGAAAAAGAAAAATAGAATAAGCTAAATGGAGAAAGACTAACCAAGATATTATAGGCTAAGCTATAGAAAATGTCAGAGGAATTTAGAGTTGATCCACTGCTGAACAAATTTCTACCCATACCTATCAAGTTCCACATTAGTTGGACATATATTAGAAACGGTATCAGAGAAAATACTCAACTTAATTCTGGTATAGTACTAGGATCAAAGGAAAACAAATCATACTTTCTCCAAAAGTCTGATTACTTCCAGTGAGAAGTATAGTAGCTGGACAAGAACCCAACATTTTACATGAATCATCGGGCAAGCCCCCATATGAAATAAAATCAGTTTGTACAGCACGATACTTCAATGCTGGTATCTGTAACAAGGGAGGCCATTCTGATGGGCTAGGAATCGGACAGTTGCTGGCTTGGCCCAAATCTGAATATTCAATACCACATACTTCTTCACATTTTCCGTCACCATTTTTGTCTACACATTTGCAGCCACATCTGTTTGATGGTGTATCCAAATTTTTGTTGACTAAATTTTGAATGAGAACTAGCAATAAACAAAGTATTATAGGGACTGAGATAAGGCGAATATTTGACTTGACATCTCGTTTCTGCAATAAAATGAGATGGGAACAGCAAATATAATATTCCAGACTAGAATCATGAAATGATATAAAAACTAAATTTGATATGTAAATATCACATTTTTACCTGAGGAAGACTACTTAACAAAAAAACATACGTAATTTTTGCTTTAGGTACAAATAGAACCCCTCAATTAATTATTGTTCTGAAAAACTCGAAGAAGACACAACCTTTAAACGTCAATCATATATATAATTTAAAACATCACGGACAGAAATGAACCCAACTGTTAGGAGTAATATCAGAATGTCAGCCTGTGATACAAGGGACTAAAGTGTACATAATAGAAGTACTGGGTTAGTGATTTGTTAGCTAATTAGCTAGATATTTAAATAGGAGCAGTTCTCTTTCTACGAGCTAAGCTCCTTTTTAGTTCTTCCCTCTGCATGTGAGCTTCCTTTGATGTTTTAGCTCAAAACCAACAACAGGCCAAAGAGGTAACTAAATCTTGAACTTGAATTCCAAAAAGCAGATAAACTCGATTTAACCAAATTTCGAGACAATGTAAGAAAACATAGAGAAACAAACCTGAAAAATCAAATTCTTTCTCAGCAAAGCATTGGCTTGGGTCCAGAAGCTTGCGGGACCATGCACCGAATCCGCCATGGTCTGAAACTTGTTGCAACTTATTTCTACGAGAGTTAAATTCTTCTTTACAACCAAAAAAAGGAAGTTCGATTTTTTAAATTGTTTGAAGTAATTAGTTGCAATGAGTTCGTTGGGCAGTTTTCATACAAGTTGAGTGCCCTCAGCCCTTTTTTGGGGGGGACAAAAACTCCCCTTTCAATATTCCGGATTTTTCTGGTTAAAAGGGGATACTTCAATGACTAAACTACCCTTTACATTACGCAGTTTATTTTGTTCTTCAGACGATCGAAAAATAGATAAATTGCCACCTAAATTTAAATTTCTTACGACCTTTACTCTTGTTCTTTTCTGAAGTAACTTTGACTGGCAGAAGAAACAATCTTAACTAGCTAATTACTTAGGACTTTGCCTATTAGTTATAATACTAAGATGTGACATTATAAGTTTTTAATAAATGTCAGAGTGCCACTACACTCACTAGTTACTTGGGATAATAAGTTATGGACTCATTAGTATAATTAAGATAGTCATTACAAAAATTTCCGTTATATAAAGTTGAAGCTAGAAAGGGTGGGTATGCCTGAGATGCATATATTCACCAAACGATTATATCGTATGATCATCGATTTAAATTTTTACTTGTTAGAAAAGAAATACGTTTATTTAGTTGTCACAAAGGCAAACTAACCGCTGTTGTCAGCTTCTTAACTCTAGTAGCACTACCGATTAACAGGTTTTGTTTAGCATTAATTATCCAATCAAAATAAAATATTCACTTATCAAAGTTTACACTCAAGTCCGTAGTGGTTAAGTTACGTTCAAGTAAACTACGAATTTCGAAATACTGTAATGGATTCATGGCAATTAAGATTCACCTAGAAACATGCAACCAACTATGAGAGCCAATGAGACTGGCAGTAGCTTCTTATCACTTAAAATCGCACGAAGATCCTAACAAATTAAATATTGCAGTTTANATATATATATATATGATGAACTTTCTTTTGTTGCAAATTAGAGCAAATCAAAAATAGAAAACACCCTTTTATAAGGGTTAACTTTTTTATAAATCTATGTATATGATTTACATAATGTACTTTTTTTTATATAGTCAAACCTCTTTACAAATGCCTTTTTTATTCTGATATATATCTTTTGGCTTCTATAGTGAAGTGTTGTTATAGATGACATATATTATAAGATAACATAAAAATTTGAATTTTATAATGAATGATTATTATATAAGAATATTATTATAGAGATGTGTGACTGTAATCGGGAAAATGATATCACCGTCCATCAGAGCCATAGTACTGTTAATCGTTTGGCAGTAACATAACAAATAAACAAATATTATTAGGTAAAGCCAGTATTCGCAGTTAATTGTGCTAATCAATAATTAGACAATGATAACTAAATCGCCATAAATAGCGAACCGATTTGGCTGATAGTTTGTCTCTCATGACAAACTTGCAATTTGGCACAATTTAAATCAATTGTACAGAGTAACATTTTTGACAGTAGTTGAATGAAAATGTGCTCAGTACGTATAGCCAGTTTGATCTTTGCACACTCTCTGCGTAAAAGGGGAGTAACGTTAAAATACCACGGTATAGCCAGTTTTCGGACTGGTCATTTAAAAATAGACAGCGTTTACGGAGTCAATAAAAAATAGTCATTATTTTGCTGCAACAGAGACCGGTCCAGCATAATATACTGGAGTTCGGTGCACCTGTGTATGAACTCCAGCATATTATGCTGGACCGGTATACTTTGCTGACTCCAGTATAATATACTGAAGACTGGAGAACCGGTGCTCCAAACTCTAGTATATTATACTGGACAATTATACTTGCTGGAACTCCGGTATATTATGCTGAAGTTCTAGTGTACTTATGCTGGAACTCCATCATATTATGCTGGAGTTCCAGCATACTTATCCTGAAACTTCAGTATAATATGTTGGAGTTCAAGTATATTTATGCTGAAACTCCAGTATAATATACTGGCGTATTTTCCGGGTTTTGAACTGTGTTTTGGCTCAAATTTATCTTTACATGGAAAGTGACTAAATTTCGATTACTTTTAAAATTAGGCTATTTTCGAACGGTCAGTTGTAAATCTGGCTATTTTTAAATTTCTCCCGGTAGTAACGTGCTTTCATAATTAAAGTTTGCTTGGAACCCACTTAACAGAAAATTCTCAAATCTCAATGAATCTCCATACCAAATAGGCAAATAACAATAGAGAAAGCTGTAGAATTTTAATTTCCTGCATCGTCGTGGACAAATCTTTCTGAGTTTTTATATTCCACTGTTATACTAGACCGTTTTAAGTTACAAGAGTTCGACATTACTTATGGTTTCATCAGCTTTGTTTTTTTCTTTTTTAAAACTTATTGTTTCAGTCTTTCAGACGAAGTGATAAACGGGGAGAAATTAAAAAATAGCCAGATTTACAACCGATCGTTCAAAAATAGTCCAGTTTAAAAAGTAATCGAAATTTAGTCACTTTTCATGTAAAGATAAATTTGAGCGAAAACACTGTTCAAAACCCGGAAAATACGCTAGTATATTATACTGGAGTTCCGGCATAAGTATGTTTGAACTCCAGCATATTATACTAGAGTTCCAGGATAAGTATGTTGGAACTCCAGCATAATATGATGGAGTTTCAGCATAATATACCGGAGTTCCAGCAAGTATAATTGTCCAGTATAATATACTAGAGTTTGGAGCACCGGTTCTCCAGTCTTCAGTATATTATACTGGAGTCAGCAAAGTATACCGGTCCAGCATAATATGCTGGAGTTCATACACAGGTGCACCGAACTCCAGTATATTATGCTGGATCGGTCTCTGTTGCAGCAAAATAGTAACTATTTTTCATTGACTTCGTAAACGCTGGCTATTTTTGAATGACCAGTCCGAAAACTGGCTATACCGTGCTATTTTTACTAATAAACGTCATGGAATAGTTATTAATCCGTAAGTACTTACTCACACTGAATGTTTATATCAATCAAGTAATTTAATTTTGGAAGTTAAAAATTAAAATGAAAATATATATATATATATATCACGAATGCCCTTAGCGAAATGTCATTTACCTTTTTTACCCTTTAAGAAGAGTTAACACTAGATAAAAAATTTATTTAATTATTTTTAAATATTTATAGGGATAATTATTTGATTAATTCTTTAATATTTAAAAATAGTCATTTAATTATATTCTAAAAACTTAGGACATCGAAAACAACTAAAATTTCTTGCTGAATTTTTCCTATTTGAATTAGAATTATTTTTCTTATAAATTATATTTGAACTCCTTTTGTGTATGGACTACATACAACATCATCAATACTAAGACAAGCATCAACTAAAATTTTGGGGGTGCTTTTTATACATGTGGACAAAGAATTTGAGGTGGCTTATAAATTTGTTATTTTTATACGTAAATGGTTTGATTATTAACGAGAGATAGAGAAGAAGAAAAAAAAAAAGAGAAAAAGCACTGGAAAAACAACTACAGTAATTCCACGATAAATTTTCTAAGCTTAGCCTATGAGATAAGTTTGTATAAATCTTCTATTTCACGCACATAACAGTTGATTTCAAAATATTAAATACTAAAATAATTATGAAAGAAAGATAGAATAATTTGTGAAATTTTCTCCAATTGTATTCACGGTACACAACCTTATTTATATAAGTATTTCTGCATCTAAGATAAAATGAAAATAAAAAATAAAAGAATATTTCTATACACTTGTACTATTTTTATTGCTTACATGTATAACCTCCTAACAGAATTTTATTCTCCTACATGTGCTCATCATGTGTAGAAAGCTTCTATTATTTGTCAACTCAGCTAAATCGAACGGTTGAGATTTATTCTTCAGCAATTAGTCTTGTGTTGTGTGATGCTGACACGTGTAGAAATTTACCTATACATTTAGAAACATAAGGGTGAGGACATTACATAGTAATGTCCGAAGTCTCTAACTCGAACTCAGGCTTCCACACTTCGACCTCTTCGCCCTTTCTTCTTCCTCATCCTTCTTCTGTAAATTGATGGGCTTTTTATCTTCAACATCCCCTTTCAAGTTGGAGGGGGAGAGAATGGACCCCCAACTTGTTCAAAATGTGGCGGTGTAAAGCCCCAGATAAGGGTTTGATGAATAGATCTGCTAGTTGATGCTCTGATGGAAGAAAAGAGAGGGAGATTAGCCCAGAAAGGAGCTGCTGACGGACTAAATGGCAGTCCAGCTCGACGTGCTTAGTCCGTTCATGAAAGACGATGTTGCGAGCAATGTGAATGGCGGCTTGGCTATCTGAGTGAACAGGCACTGGTAAAGTGGGGGTGCTGATAGATCGGCAAGCAAGCGGACTAACCAAGTGATTTCTGCAATTACTCTCCTCATAGACCTGTATTCCGCTTCTGCTGAGGATAAAGAAATGGAGATTTGTTTCTTCGATTTCCAAGAGATTGGAGCACCACCAAGAGTGATAAAGAAGCCGCTTACTGAACGACGGGAATCTCCCGCCCAATCGGCATCACAGAAGGCAATCAAATCAAAAGAAGGATCAGCAGATAAAAAGATTCCTTAGGAAGGATCTGTTCTCAGATATCTCAAGACACGCAAAGTCGCTGAAAAATGTGAAGAACATGGTCTTTGCATGTACTGACTTAAACACAAGACAGCGAAACAAATGTCTGGTCTTGTGTTCGTCAGGTAGTTCAATTTACTAACTAAATGTCGATAAATAGTTGGATTCTCTAATGGTGTCCCTTGGTCTGCCTGTAGCCTGCACTATGGATCCAGAGGAGAAGACACTGCTGCTCCTGAGCAATCAAACTCCTGCAGCAATTCTAGGTAAATTGTCTCTGACTGATGATGAAACCCTGCTTTTCCCTTAAAATTTCCATGCCCGAAAAATAGTGTATATCACTTAAATACTTGACTTTGAATTCTGTGTTGAAAAAAGTGCAAATGTGATTAATTTCCTTTGTGTCATTGCCCGTAAGAAGTATATCATCAACATAAACAGCTAAAATAGAAATTAGGCCATTTTTCTGTTTATAGAACGGGGAATAGGCATTGAGAGAACTGGAGTAGCCTTTGAAACTCAGAGTCCGGCAAGCCTAGAATACCATTGTCGTGATG